AGCAGGTTCTTCCCCTCTCCCTTTACTTTGGACTCAAACAGGGCCCAAGGAACACCACTTTGTTCAGGCCCCAGGGCACTGGGTTATACATTTGGTTTTTTTGTGGGTTGAGACCAATTGTTTGTTTGTATTATTGTACTTACTGTATTATTTTAATAAATTGTTATTCTGACTTATAATCTCTCCTTTGAGTTGAGTTCATTCCCCCTGCTGGTTAACTTTTAAACCAGCACAGACTCTCTGGCTTGTTTGCTTCAAGAACAAGAACCACAGGCAATGGAAACAAGTTGGGATCATTTGGTTCCCTTCTACAAGTTCTCCATCAGTACTGCAGAAATTCCTGTTAACGCAGCAAGCACATACCAAGTGTAAACCAGGCTTGACCACCGTAATTGGCTTCTCTAATTATGGCATTATGAAGGAGGGAGAGCAGTGAATGTCCTTTACCTTGACTTCAACAAGGCTTTGGACATGTCATAAGCAAGCATATTCTTCTGTGTGGGTCAAAATGTTATGATCTGATTGAACAACTGGATGGGTAAAAAGTGGATGCTCATGCTCAGAGAGTGGTGGTGGTTCATAGGCCATACTCTATGTGGAGGTTATAACAAATTTCGACAGAAGAGGAGGGTAAGTAAAAGCATTCAGGCTATATGTAACTAAAAAACAGAAGTGTTTTCATGGTAAGAAGTATGAAGCATTGGAATGAGATGCCCAGACAGGATGCCCAGTCTTCCTCCTCAGTGTCAGTGCCTTAAGTGCATTCTCCTTCCTGGAGGTTTGACTGGCTGGGCTCATGGTAAAAGGAGAGTCAGAAAAACTGGGGGCTGAGACCCTTCCAGCTTGAAACCCTGGAGCCAGTGCTGCCAGGGAGGACGTTGAGAGACTTCAGGCAGGGCTACCACCCTTCTCCTGGAGGCTGCTTTGAAGAGGCCTTGTCTTCTCTCCTATCACTGCACTCCTACTCTCCTCTTATTTCTCAGCTCAGACTGTGCCTGAAACCAGTGATACATTACAGGGACTAGAGTTGTGCCCTTTGATAACATTTCAGTCATCCAGAGCCAGGTGTGGTCAGCCCTCCCCAGGCAGTGCTGCTTGTCTGTCTCTCCACTGTGCACCAGCAATGTTTTGGACAGCCCAAGAACCCTCTCTCCTCATGCAGCTCGAAACAATACAGGAAATATTGGCATATGTGATATTAACACTTCTCATCTTTCTCTCAGGAAGGATTTGGAAGAACGGAAGTTGATCCCCACTCCAGGCCCTACATGGCTTACTTACAAATTGAAAATGAGACTGTATTCTTACAGCAGCTAAATTAGATGCTGCTATTTTGGTCTGTGGTTGGCCCAGCCACCTGTAAGAATCTATTCTTCTCCTGCCAAGCTATAAGAAAACAAGCACTGATAAATGCGAACTTTGTCCTTGAAGAAGCATCTTGTATAAACTGTAATTAATTGGTACCTCACTATTGGTCGACGGCCCTCCAAGGGCATTTGAAAAAGAAAGTGATGAGAAAGGTGATGAAGCAAGCCCCCAGGTTCATTTAGGAAAGCCCCCCTGAGGTGCAGCACGCAGGTGCAGGGACATTCCAGAGTACCCACACATGTGCAGAAGAGACTCCACTTGTATAATGGAGGGAGAGACTGAAGGCCTCTAGTTGGGCGGTGCTGGCCACACCTGCCCAGGTAGAACGTCATCAATTAATTGTATAAAAGGTAGAGAACTTGTGCTGGGAGCGGAACTCAAGCTTCACACCTTTGTTGCCTTTTGCAGGGACACCCGCTATCTTGTGAGCCTGCCGACACTCCAAGAATGCAGCTTCTGCTATGGGGAATTCTTGGCGTTCTGGGATCTCCTTCAAAAGCAACACCTGAGTTAGTGGGGGAGTTGTACTGAGGACTTATTTTCCTCCTCCTTCCTCTCTCTCAGGTTTTCGTTTTGTTGCCCACCCCTTGATGATAAATATTGTTCTTGTTGAGCTTTCAACGGTGTACTGGTTTCAGTTTCAGCATCCTTCCCCGCTACAGAGACAAATATTTCTGACTCTGAAGGGTTCCTGATTCAGCCAGATGCAGTGCTCTCAGCAGCTCACTGTGTGCATGGAAAAGGGTAAGACCCTCTGTTTCTTCTGTGTGGGATATTTTCAAGTCTCACACAGTCCTGAAGGGCCCCAGTCCTGGTCTGGGCTGAAAGAGTTCTCTGTGTCTCTTCAGGCAGAGCAGGGATCTCTGTGAGCTGAGCTCCCCCTATGAGCTGCAGGAATTGTCTGCCAGGTTGCTGTGTGCTCCTGGGGACGGGACTGCTCAGCAGTGATCTCCTGGTTCATGGCTCCTACCATGGCTCAGAGGTACTGCTGCAAAAGAGGGACCAGTGTGTGTCCCATTCCCTGCTTCCCTTTGTCTTCAGAATGGGACAAGTCAGACCTATGTGAGTGTGGGGGGAGGGACCCTCAGTTGAACGGTGGAAGGAACCCAGGTTACAAAAGGGAATTTGCTGAGAACAAATCTCTGGGGAGGTACATCCCAGTGCCACCTCCCTCCAACCACCTGCCACAGGGCTGTGCTGCTCTGGCCAGTGCAGCTGTAACATTTTGGTGTTTCCTGGTAGAAAGGTGAATATCACTGTGACCCTGGGAGCCCACAACATAACTTATCAAGAACCAAGCCAGTAGAAGATCCGAGTTGGATGTTGGGTCATCCATCCCAGATACTTAAATTATAGATCTGGAAATGATATCATGCTGCTGAAGGTATGTTCTCATGCATCTTTGCTGCCCAAGGGATCTCCCCCTGCTCACCTCACCAAACCCATGAAGTTGTTCCCATTCCTTTACTGGCTCTAATCCCATGTTCTCTCTGCTTGATAGCTGAAGAGAAAGGCCAAGACCACTAAGTACATGAAACCAATCTCCTTGCCTAGATACAATGATGGTGTGGCACCAGGAACTAAATGTAGTGTGTCTGGCTGGGGCAGTATATGGATAACAGGGTGTGAGATTGATGTGATGATATAGGCAGACCAGGAGGTGCAGCATGAGGAAATGTATAAGCAGACTTTTAATCCATACAGTCCTCCAGCTATGATCTGTGCAGGTGCTATGCATGGCAGAAAATCAATTTTCATAGTGTTGGTTTTGTCTGTAAGCTTAGGATGAGGTTGGGACTAGACAGTCAGGTTGGTTCTCAGGTGAGGGTCAAAAGGGCAGTACAATGAACCAGATTCTTCAGGAGGATGTGCTGAGGCTCCTCATAGCAGCTCTGAAGCTGACATGCTCTCTGAGCTGGGGTGCACTTGCTCAACTCTCAGCATCAATTTGCCTCTTTACTCACTTGGGGATGTTCTACCCATCCCAGCCAGTGCCCCAGCAGGCTGCAGAGCTTGTGTAAATCCTTTGTCATATCCTCACTGGGATGGCTTGGCTATTTCCCCCATGTCTAAACTAGGATTTGATTGTTCCTTTCAGGATGTGAAGGCAGCTTTTGAATCTCAAATAGCCTCCAGGTTTGAACTGCTTCCCAGAAGGTCTTAGAGGAGTAGTGAGGCAGCTACAAACCCTGCAGAGCTGGGCCTGGAAGGAGGGAGGGGGTCAGAAGAGGAGGTTCTTCATGTGGAGAGAGGGAAGTGGAATAGTTTGTTCCTTAGGATAAGGAGAGCTGTGCTGTGACAGGGCTGACCCCTTCCATTTCTTTCACTCCACAGAGTGATTCTGGTGGCCCACTATTCTGCAATCAGAAGGCCCATGGCATTGCTTCTCTTGGATATGAATTCAGACACTTCCCTAATGTATTTACCAACATCTCTTATTTTGAGGCCTACATCAATGAACAGCTGAGAAAGTTTGCAATCCAAGAGCTACCTGGCACTCCCTCCAGTGACTAAAATGCTGAGTGCTTCTTCTCCGTAATTCTTCTCATTAATGCATTAAACATTGGTTGATGCTCAGAGGCTTTTATGGGCGATGAAATGAGGTCAGAGATACCTTGCCAGGCAATGGTTTCTGCACTAAGGGAAGTCTCCCTGGCAAGGTAAGAAAGCAGGTTCCAAGCACATCCAGTTTCCCATTGTTCCCTTCCTCCCACTACTGCCCAACACTGCCATCTCCTGCTCTGCTTTCTGTCCATCAATAAAAGCTCCTTCAAACTTGCTTGTGTGTGCTGCCTTCTTGAGGATGGGATGCAAAGCCTGAGCATGAGAAGGAGGAGATGACACTCCTTGGGAGAACCTGAGTGGGACTGTAGGTGGGACACACAATACAGATCTTTGTCCCTGAACTGCTGCAAATGCTCTCCCTTGTCTCCCTCAATCTCTTGCACTCAAACCAGCAGGTAGAGACAGCAGCCTTGCCAAACCATTTATGCAGTCTTTCAGAAACAGAAGCTGTAGGAACCACGTGTCACTAAGCCTTTATATAATAAAGAAGGATGCACGCTCTTCTGAGATGGAGAACAAAGAGGTTTATTTCAAATCCTGCGCTTCCTTTTATACCCTGATATCATGTGACCTTCTAACCAATAGGGTTATCCATTTAGACGCATGCTCCTTTGAGCTTCTCTGCCCCAGCACGTCCCCCGTGCCTTGGACAGGCCTCCTACATCACCCCCCTCTCAATTATATAAGAAGGTCACAAAAACAGTGTAATAACAACAGTGCAAACAATCAGAACAGTACATTGTAAACTACCAAAGCTTGCAATGACCCAGCACATCGCTTGCTTGGCCTCTTATACCTCTGTGGGAAACCTTATAAAACTTTCTTATTTTCCTAAAGGGTAGTGCAACTTGGAGAAATAACTTTATTAACCTAAAGGCCTTAGCCCAACTGTGCATACACTTATAGTCTTTATTAATCTGAGGGTTTTGAATAACTGAGGAGAACAACTTTATTTAAGAAACAGGTTAAGCTTAGCAAAATTAAATTCTCTTAAAGTGACCTTGTGGCAGAGGTAGTGTTATCTTGTGCGGTGTTTTTGTGTTCAATATACTTGTCCAGTCAAACAACTCTCTTGTTCATTCACTCTCTCATTCATTGGCGGCCGCCATTCATTCATTTCACACACACATTCACAGATTTTTACAGACTGCTTTTTGCCACATTGGTCGTCCCTAAATGTAAACCTGAAACATAAACATAACTCTTTTATAACTTCTGCGTTACTCTGGTTCTTGCTGCTGTGGTTGTGTATCTAAGTAGAGTCTTACACACCTCGAAGGAATCAACTTATGCTCTTTTCCTGCAGCCACACAGGCATAGCCTCTCCCCCAAGTCACGAGGTCTAGCGGTACCGTCCACTGCCCTGAAATCAAATTTCTTGCCATGATTGGTGGTTTGGGAGAGGCAAGAGCCTGAGGCTTGTACTGCTTTTCATATCTACTTCTTTCAGCACTGTCACAATTTAAAAAAATTGATAACATACATGGTTTTTCACAGATGCTCCTGCGGGCTACACAGATTTTCCCCCCTTTTTTTCTGTTTAGCTAACATGCGTTTCAGTGTGCGATGTGCCCTTTCAATAATTGCTTGTTCAGTTGGTAAGTGTGTGAGATACCTGTGATGTGAAATTCTCTATTCTGACAGGAAATTTCTTACCTTTTCTTGAGATAAAAGCTGGTTCATTATCGGTCTTGATCTGTTTTGGGGTACCAAGGGTAGCAAAACAACTGAACCAGTGTTTTATCACATCCTTGGCCTTTTCTCCTGTGTGTGCTGTGGCAGTTATGTATTGTGAATGTGTATCTATTTATATGTATATATTTTAATGTGCCAAATTCGGGGATGTGTGTGATATCTGTTTGCCAGATCTCATTTGCCATTAACCCTCTGGGGTTAACGCCTTCCTGAGATGGCATGGGTGTGATTTTCTGACAGTTTGGGCATGACGTTATGATGTCTCGAGCTTGATTAAGTGTTATCTGGAATTGTCTCTTCAGAGAACATGCATTCTGATGGAAAAATGAGTGAGACAATTTCGTTTGTTCTAAGACTCTAGGTATGGTGTTAAACATAGCTGCTTTATCAGCTTCTCAGTTTCTGTCAGCTATCGGCCCTGGCATGTCAGCGTGTGACTTTGTGTGTATTATATAGAAATCAAACTTTCTGTGATTCACAAGAACTCAAATAGAACGCATTTCAGACAACAGGTGAGGGCTAACAATATCTCGAAGAAATGAACTCTCGAGACAGGAGACTAACTTTACAGTACAACAGGAATCAGTTACAACATTAAAAGGTTGTTCAGAAAATTTTCCCAAGGCAATATGAATGGCAACCAGTTCCAGAACCTGTACAGAAGTTTGGTTCATGATCTGTACCTCTCGTTCCCACTGTTCTGTGCCAGGATTTACCCAAGCCATTGCAGCCTTTCATGTTTTTCCCAGATGCATCTGTGAAGGCCCTGAGGCCTTTCACTGGTTCATTTTTGCATCTGGTTGTGGCTTTTAAAGGTAAATTACTGATTTCTGCCCACAATCTGTGCTTAGGGAGATGGACCGAAATGTCACCATCAAAGCTTGCCAAGGCAGCTTGGAATCCTGCGTCCTCAGCCAGCATCCAATCCAAGTTGTCCTTCGTAGCTGGAATGTAGATGATGGCAGGATTCCTTCCGTCTAGTTCCTGCAGTCATCCTCTGCCTTTAATGACAAGCTTAGCAAACATTTCATTAGCAGTCCACACAGTTTTAGGTGGTGCGTGGGCAGAAACAGCCACTTAGAATTTGCAGTGGGTCTTTGTCAGTCTGATCCCACTGAAACAAGACTGCAAATGGCTGATATCTGCTGGGAACAAGGGCTAGGCAGATTTGCAGTTCAGGATTTCTCCTTCTACCTTGCCTGCTTTTTATGGCCTTGGCATAAATGTCTAACGCCTGCTTTGCCTCTGCTGTCAGAGACCTGTTAGACATGCCTTGGACACGCCTCCTACAAGAAGCATCTCTGCAACCAATGGGAGCATGTGGGTTTCTATTACCAACTTGAAACCACCTCAGGATCCTCAGACAGACTCAACATCAGGAGGCCTGTTTAAAACCCTGTGTTTCCTTTCCATCCCCTTGAACCTCAGATGAAGCATTTTCTCTGCACCTGTAAATGCCTGAGGGCTGAAATGTGGAGATTTTCTCCTATGGAATCAGCTGATCAGACCTGGCTGGGCCAAGAAGTGCCCTCGTGGTGTGGTGATGGGATAGAGAATGCCAAATATGGCAAAAGCAAGTATTGCAGAGAGACAAGCCTGGTCAGTCATACCAGGGAGAGATGTATTTCTTCTATGACTTTTTTTTTTATGATCATTTATCAGTGATCTGGACGAAGGGATAGAACATACCTTCAGCAAGTTTGCTGATGATACAAAACTAGGGGGAGCGACTGATAGACCTGAAGGCTGCTCTGTATTCAGTGTGACCTTGATAGGTTGGAGGGTTGGGTGGAAGGAAATCTAAAGAAGTGCAACAAGGGCAAGAGTGGGGTCCTGCACCTGGGGAGGGGTAACCCCAAGAACCTACTAGAGAGCAGCTCTGTGGAGAAGGACTTGGGAGTCTTGGTAGATGACAAGTTGACCATGAGCCAGACACATGCCCTGGAGGCCAGGAGGGCCAATGGGATCCTGGGGTGCATCAGGAACAGTGTGGCTGCAGGTCAGGGAGGTGATCCTTCCCCTCTACTCGGCCCTGGTGAGGCCATGTCTGGAGTGCTGCATCCAGTCCTGGGCTTCTCAGTACAAGAAAGACAAGGAACTACTGGAGAGGGTCCGGTGGAGGCCACAAAAATGATTAAGAGACTGGAGCATCTCTCTGACGAGAGAAGACTCCAGGAACCAAACCTACTCAGTCTAGAGAAAAGAAGACTGAAAGGGGAGCTCATAAATGCATATAAATATTTTAAAGTTGGGTGTCAAGAGGATGGTGATTTGGCCAAAAGGGACCAAGACACACCACAATCTGACACATCATGCTCTCAAGGCTTTCCATCCAGTCCTGAACCACATTGGCTTTGCTCTCTCTCCTCCCATAACATCCCTTTCCACCCAAATGCCACACCAGAATACCCCTCCCTAGGTCCAGCACTTTCTTCTCTCTCATGCAGTCAACGTGTGCCACGTGAGCAGGAAAGGAGCAGTCAGCAGCACCAGTGACTGTGGGGCAGATGAGCACAGGTCCCACAGGCTCTGGAGCTGAGAGTCACCACAACCAACAAGTGTCAGTGAGAATGTTGGGGAGGGGGATTAGCAAGGGAGTGATCACAGAGCTGCCTGTCTGGTAAAGATACAAGAGATGAGGAAAATCCAAAGTGCTCTTCCATGGGATACACTGGGAGATGGGTGACAATGCGTCAGCACCCCCTCCCCATCAGCACTTTGTAAAGGAGCCCTAATGGCCCCAGAGATTCCCCTGGCACAGAGTCTGCAGTGGGCACAGGGATCTCCTTCCCCATGGTGCCTGGTACATGTGACATTGGCCTTTAAACCACCTGTCTGCAAAAGGTCGGGAAACCCTGGGGTTCCAGACTCATTCAGGCATGGAGGGGCCTTAGCAGCCAACTGTTACAATGTCATGCTCAAGTCAGGATCAACCCTCAGTGCAGATTGGGTTACTCAGGCCTTAGCCCAGGTCTTACATCTTGCAAGACCTGAAATATGAACTTCCACAGACCACTGTCAATGCACAGTTCTGGTCAGAGCCATTTTTGCTTTTCCTGAAAATCACTTAGAACCTCTGCTTTCTCGATCTGTGATCATTGCCTCATCCTCCTGTAGGTACCTCTCTGAAGGGCCTGTGTTTGCCTTCTCAGTAGCCTCTCCATTGGTACTGGAGTGTGTCATAAGGTACACTAAGCCTTCTGGTCTCCAAGAAACTCCCCCATTCCCTATGTCTCACCGAAAACACTGTGCTC